TGTTGGTGTTAGCCGGATTTGGCTGATAGGTTCCTCTCTTCATGTGAGGGAGAATTCAGATGTGGCCCAGAGAGTAGTGGTGAGCTGCTAGCCAAGTTTCATGCAGAGGAAGCACCTGGTGCACCTGGCAGGCAGCTCAGGGGAGAACTGAGAGCCCAGTCTGTATTCAGCATGGGGTTTTTATGGATGTGGGTCTGAATGCCCGTGTTACTCTCCTCCTCCTCCTCCTGGGAAATTCCTGGATATGGAGTTCTCAGGCCCTTGGTAGCACAGTGTTATCCCACCTAACAGCGCGTTTGGTGCAGGATGAGGGAGATGGCTGAACCGCATCCGACAGGGCTGTGGACAAGAGCACTTGCTGTAGATGTAATTGCTCGTCTGCTTTCATGACTTCTTTCCTTGCTCCATCATACCAAGATTAATTTTCTTTCTAAAATTCCCATTCTTTCCCCATTTTCTTTGTCCCCTCAGAGACTCATAGACTAATGTCTGCCTAGCTGCCTTCACGCTGGTGCTCACTTCCTTGTCCAGTCACCTCTCCTTGAGCACAGGTGGAGCCCAATGGTTTGTTTTCAACCAGGAGGCTATGGGAAAGCTAATGGATGCTGATGGGATGTGACTCCATACATAGACTGTATAAGATTGTGATCCAGTACTCCCTCTTGGCGCATGTTTTGGTAAGGGAGGATGCCACTTGCAAAGGGCCCAAGGCAAGAAACTGAGTGTGTTGTGCAGCCAGGAACCACCAGGGAAGTGCAGCCCTCAGTCAGTGGGCTTCAGGGAAACGAGTGCTCCCAGCAGCCACCGAGGGAGCCTGGGAGTGGATTTGTTTCCACATGAGCCTTCCGAGGAATCTGCAGACCCTGGGTTGGCGTCTTGATTGTGCCCTTGGAGAGACAGAAACAGGGAACCCCACAAAGTTGTGTCCAGACTCTAGACCCACAAAAGGTGCACAGTAATCAGTGTATGTCAAGGAGTTCTGTAATAGCAGTACATCATCAGTAACTGGTACCCCAGAATTCCACTTCTAGATATCTACCACTGCAATGAAAATATGCATGTGTATAAGCCTCTTAGGTAATCTGTAAAACTTGCGAAACAGTAAACTGAAAGATCATTTTGGTGCAGAAAATTATTGAATCCTTACCAATGAAGAATCTTCAGAAAATTCATGCAATAGCTAGTAGTCTAAAAAAAATACATGATTTCATTTTTCCTTTTTGCCACAAAGCATCTTTGAATTTCATTTTTCACAACTTCTTGAAGTACTCATGAGTGTGTTTGTCTTCAAAGAGATTTGTAAGTAAATATTCATAGTCTAATTCATCCTAATTCCAAATAGTGATCAGTCCAGATGTTGTCACCTGATGATTAGGAAAATGAAATGTGGCGTATTCTTACAATACAGCATTACTCAGCTGGATAAAGGAGGCAACTGATGCTTGCCAGCAGTGCTAAGAGCTGGGAAGCAAGGCACAAATATTCATACATGATTCCACTCAAGACATTTTTAGAATAGATCGCACTCTGGTGATGAGGCAAGTCAGCGCGTTCTAGGGATGCCAGGAAAGGCAGGGATTGACTGCAAATGCATGCAAGGGGCGTTTGGGAAGGATGACTGTGATATCTTGAAAGTGGGATTGAGGTTGCCTGTCAGTGCACTTTGGCGGATGGTACTGAAAGGGTTTAGACCACCATTTCTGTGAGTCTGCTGCAAGGCACATATATTATTTCACAGCACATTTGTAAAAAGTGTGTGCAAAAGGAAACAGTCTCCATTAGTTGCCCTGTTCATTGTGCTCTAATATTTAGAGAATAGATTTTAATTTTGTCCTTTTTATGGCCTTGTGTGATTGAATCTGTCTCTCTTGTCCTGCACCTATGTGCCAACCACGTGCCTTAAGGTCTTCTCAACCCTGACCCTCCCTGTTTGGGATTTCTTGTTGGTATTTTGGACAGAAATGTGATTATCAGAAGCTATGGTGCAGATTTCTCTTTGAGTATGTTTCACCTTTCTGCTTGTGTCTTGTTTTTCCCCTGTGACTTCATTCACGGAAAATAGCTTGCACATTGTAATGCTTATTGAGCTACCTCTTCCCATGTATCCCTGGGCTTCCTGCAAAGTAGCTGATATCCTAGAATTTTTTTTTAAAGATTTATTTTTATTATTTTTTTATTGGAAAGGCGGATATACAGAGAGGAGAGACAGAGAGGAAGATCTTCCGTCCGATGATTCACTCCCCAAGTGAGCACAACGGCCAATGTTATGCTGATCTGAAGCCAGGAGCCTCTTCTGGGTCTCCCACACAGGTGCAGGGTCCCAAAGCTTTGGGCCGTCCTCAACTGCTTTCCCAGGCCACAGGCAGGAAGCTGGATGGGAAGCGGGGCTGCCGGGATAGAACCGGCACCCATATGGGATCCCGGGCGTGCAAGGTGAGGACCTTAACCACTTGCGCCACCGCGCTGGGCCCGATATCCTAAAATTTTTAACAGAGGGAAAGATAGGAAGCATTTATTGATTCCTGTAGACACATTTGTATCTTCAACTTTTTTTTTCTTTTAAAGATTTATTTATTTTTATTTGAAAGGCAGATTTACAGAGAGGAAAGATAGAGAAATCTTCCATCCTCTGGCTCACTCTGCAAATGGCCACAGCATCCTGAGCTGAGCCAATCAGAAGCTGAGAGCCAGGAGTTTCTTTTAGGCTCTTGTGTGGGTATAGGGGCCCAAGGAATTGCCATCCTCTGCTGCTTTCCCAAGTTGTAAACATGGAGCTGGATTGGCAGTAGAGCAGCTGGAACCTATCTGGTGCCACAGGTAGAGACTCAGCCTACTACTTAGCAGCACCCCGACCCCCGGCAAAGTTCGTTTTTACTCATGAAAGGCAAGCAATAATTTATTTCCATTACTTTGTTTTCTTCCTTCTGGTATTATTGTAGAATTATTTGAGGATATGATTCTTGATTTTCTTCCCTACCACTAAACTCTCAGACAGCCTTTTTGAACATATGGACTCATAAATGATGCACAGTTTTTAATCCATGCATTCTTTCAACCGATATTAAAAATGTATCCAACTCAGTTATGTACCAGTATATATATATACATATATATACATATATATATATGTATGTATATACTGGATGTGTATATATATATATATATTAAAGATTTATTTATTTGGATTACAAAGTCAGATATACAAAGAGGAGAGACAGAGAGGAAGATGTTCTGTCTGATGATTCACTCCCCAAGCAACCACAATGGCCGGTGCTGCGTCAGTCTGAAGCCGAGAACCAGGATACCTCTTCCGGGTCTCCCACGCAAGTGCAGGGTCCCAATGCTCTGGGCCGTCCTCGACTGCTTTCCCGGGCCACAAGCAGGGAGCTGGATGGGAAGTGGGGCTGCCAGGACCAAAACCAGCGCCCATATGGGATCCCGGCACCTTCAAGGTGAGGATGTTAGCTGCTAGGCCATGCTGCCAGGCCCTCCAGTATATATTTTGTGGCCTCTCTTTAAAAACAAACAAATAAACAAACAAACAACTCTCCCTTCTTAGACATTTAGCTTTATGAGCTCTTAGGATTTCTATAAAGCAGTTGTGAAATGTCTCCCTGTGTTGTTTTGATTTTTTCTTATGTGTAGATGCTGTGTGAGTGCTTGCCGGAGAGATGTATTTGTGCCGTCAGTGGGTAAAGCCTCTGCAGGGAACCAGTGTCCAGGAGGCATTGCTGTGTGCTGAGCCCTTGCTGGGCCAGCCTGAGCACAGAGCAGGTGTCCCGGTAGGACAGTGGGTAGGAGAGAGACACCTCCTTCCTGCCTCTGGTCAAACCTTTGCTGGTCATGTCACTTGCGTCTCCTCGTTTGTACATTGAGGAATCTGTACATTTCCTCCTCTGTTCAGACACCGAGAATGAACAATAACATGTTATGCATCTTTCAAAGTTAAATGAGTAAATGATACTGTACAAAGGAATTACAAATCATTAAGACAGTTTAAGTATTTATATTCATATCTGGACTAAATACTAGTTTTTAAGACATACCTAGTTTTAATAGCAGTTGTATTGTTGATAATCCAGTGAGTTGCTAGATTTACATGTGTGATTTTCCAGATTTTTTTTTTTTGAGTACCAAAAAGAACTTATTTTAATTGGTTTTCCATAAACGTTTTACACTAGCTTCCTGTATATAAAGTGAGGAGCCAAATAAATTAATACAGAAACTAAGATGCCAGCAGCAGGAGGTGCATGCCTAGCTCAGTGCAAATCCAGTCATATTGGGTTTCAATTTCTTTCTAACCCTATGGGTTACTTCTTCAATCTCATCTTTCCCAGCTCTATCAAATTCTGCTGGAGTGTCATTTTCTAAACTTGAGAGAATTTTGAAATGATGGTAATACCTTTTAGGTCTTGAGTTAATTCAGAATTTCCATTCACACATCTGGAATTAGAATAGATATTTGGGAAGGCAGAGACCATGAGCACTGATACGCTTTTCCCTGGTGAGCTCTATGTTGTATTCATTGTAAAGGCATCACTAATTCCGGGTTAGCACAGCAGACAGGCCAAAGGAACCCCGAGCTCCCCTTGCCTGTGACCCCTGCGCAGTCCGTGTGTGGCCAGTTTTTTAAAAGAAATCTGAAAAAATTACAGCCCTCCCTTTTCTGCAGAATCGTAATAGCAGCCTAAGTGACTAAGCCAAGGAAAGCTTTTTGTATTTATTGCAATGCTTGAAGACACTCCCGGAGGCGAGACTGTGGAACTGAAAAGCAAAAGGCAATGCGCTTGGAATACAAAAGTAATTGGAAATGCAAGAGCAACAAAGCCTGGAGTTACAGGGAAGAGTTAGGGAGGATCTTCCTTGCGCTTAGATTTGCACTGTCAGCATCACCTGTTGAAGCAAGGCAGTTGTTTTGTAAAGTCACATGCTATGTGAAAGCAAAATTATTTTCAGAAATTAAACAAAGAGAGCGGCCTTCTCTGTTCTTCCTCCCACAGGCTCGGCCAGTCGATTACCCTAAGGACTATCTGTCGCATCAAGTTCCTGTTTCATTCCACAAACACTGGAACATCGATCCGGTGAAGGTGTATTTCACGTGGTTGGCACCCAAGGAGGAAGACGAAGCCGAAAGCGAGGCACCAAAGGGTATCAGAGAAGAGTTATGAAGTGTGAGCACGGCCTGGTGGGCCCCAGAAGTGGGGAGCACAGCATCACCGCGCTGGGCCATGCTGCTTCAAGGGACCCTGTGGCACAGGATGCTTCCTGACTCGAGGAGGAAATAATGAATGTGGTTATTTTTGATGAGGGAGGAGAGGAAGTCAAGGGGAAAATTTTTTTTTTCTGGGAAAAATCACTTGCTTTTGACTTTAATGACTATTGAACACAGTGATTACGGTGTAATTTTCAGACTGTGATGCAGCAGCATTATAATTACTGTCACAGAAAATAAATAGTCCCGGAAGTCCCTTTCCTGTTCTTTGTCTTCATTATAACGAGTCTGTGTGGGGCATGAGACTGCGAGACGGACACGCCTGTCTGAGCTTCTGGATCCAGAGAGAAGAGCCGGAAGTCTTTGACACGGATATGGCCAATGGAATGAACTTGAAAACTCTGTTACTGATCATGAACGTTGTTTCCTGGGAAACCAATAGGAATAATGCACTATAAAGAATCATTCATAAAATGTCATAAAAGTAAAAATACGAAATCTCTTGCACTCCATAAAATCACGTGGTTATGTTTGATGTGTTCTCTTGCTGTTTGTGCCTCATAAAAAGGCGAAAAGAGGTCCTCTGCGAGAGCTTCTTATTCCTGGGGAAGTTGGTCTGTGTGCCGTTGCTCCCTGAAGGGTTGGCTCGATGGACGTTTGTGAGAAGTGTACTGGATGCTGCCGGCGTACAACGTCCTCCGTGTTGAAACACAAGATTGCTATGTTTCCCTCCAGTCAGCACTCTGTTGGTGACTCTCAGGAAGTGAATTAACTCATGCCCTGATATTTCATTGTTGTTTTTCTTTGAATATTGTTTACTGACTCTCTGCTGGCTCATTGGAGCCCTCCCTCTGCCCCCTCACGCACACAGCCCTGAGCACCGGAAGCTAATAGGATGATTTGGCAGTTTTGTGGCTTCTGTGAGAGTGAAGCTTGAACACAGTATTTTCAAGCAGCTGTATCTGATTTGCAAATCACCTATTTAATATATATGTGTATGATTTAACAGTGCAGTATTAACATGCAAAATGTACTCTGATGGTTTTGATTCTGTAATTTAGTTCTGTAAAGATATTTGCATAAAACTTGATTTTTTTCTCTATGTTTTAAACTAATTTTGGTATATTAAAATGCTTTTTTTTTTTCTTTCTCCTTGTAACTGAAAACAGGAATTTATGGACTTTGTAATACTTTTCATAGCCAAGCACAGGGTTTTGAATCATAATACCCAAAGTACTTATGTATTTTTTTTTTTAAACAATGTATTATTCTCAGAGCCCAGAATTGACTCATTTCTAAAATAAAATAGCGCAGATCATGTTTCCAAATTAACAAATACTGGGATTAGAGAATTGTAGTGGATTGGATTCTGTTTTGTCAAAATGGATTCTAGACCTGTCTTAGGAATGGATCTGGGAGGATGAACTGGGTGAGAGACACCACAAGACTTTGTAGTTCCTGCTGGGCTGCTGTTGATGGTTGTCATGTGGGATGGCTGTCATGCCTCCACGTCATCACATCGCCTTCCTGTCATCCGTGATCATGCTGCCGGAGAGCCCTGGAAGCAACTTTCATTTCTACTGCTCCTGCCTGCTAGTCACTGGCATGCAGAGAGCCGGCACGCCTGTGGGTGAAGAGCTATGCCAAGATGTCTTCTGAGTGAGAATCAGTGCCTTCTATGGACACCGGAGCACCTCCTCTGCTACTTTTAGATTTTTAAATTGTGTTTATTTTTTTTTTAATTATGTAAGCCTAACCACCACAAATAAAAAAAATCTTTGCCTAAGTTTCTGATTGCTCAAATATTGTGTTTGTTAGTCCAGGTCTGAGTTGGTGGCAGTGGGACAGGTAGGGGAGGGAAGGTGAGGAAAAGGGATTAGTGAAGATAAGGACAGAAGTAGACAACTTAGTAAATAAAATTAAAGAGGAAAATATATAAGAGGCAACCCTTTTTATAGAAACTCATCAAGTTGAAAATGCATAGTCTGTGGATTTTGTTATGCAACAGAGCAGAAACTGCGTTCTGGAACTGGTTCCCTACAGTTCATATCCAAGAACACAGTTTTTGATTCTGAACTTTTCAGAAAAGATAGGTGTCCTCTTTACCTTTCCTCTGCCTTTTAAATGGATTTGTTTTCAAATGCCTATTTTTTATTCTAGGGATGTTAAAATTAAGGACTTTTGTGTGGAATAACTCAAATGTTGTTTCTGCCTTTAAGCCATTTCTGATGATAGAACACAAAAAAGATGTTTGATTATGTCACAATTTCACATTTTGCAGCTAAGTAAAAAAATAACATTTAAAGTAAAAAAAATGCCTGGAAACATAAAGCAATGACAGGTTAACCTGTTAAAGCTGCTGCATGTGATTCTGTACATATCACTGCCGTGTGCATTGCCTGATTTGTTAAGTCTTCAGGACTTTCTCATCGCTATCTACTTCAGTTGTTTATGTATGCATCTTCTCTCAAAAATGAACACAGTAGACATTTGAAAGTATTTCTGATGTGTTCCATTCATAGTCAGATGTAATGTCTATGAAACAAAGGCAATCAATGAATAGATTTATTCAACAACTGTTAATTTACCATCCAGTTGCTCCTTGTCTGCCCTGTCCGTCTACCCTTGAATCCCTGCTGTCTTTACCCAGTACAGGCAGGTGCTACTGGTTTTGTTATGTTTTATCTTCATTTTTTTTTTCCTTCTGGCTCTCTCTTTTTATTTATTGGAAAGGCAGTTCAGATTTATAGAGAGGAGAGACAAAGGGGAAGATCTTCCTTCCACTGGTTTGCTCCCCAAATGGCCACAAGGGCCTGAGCTAAACTGATCAGGAACCAGAAGATTGTTCCAGGTCACCCACATGGGTGTGGGCTCCCAAGGACCTGGGCCATCCTTCTCTTATTTCCCAGGCCATAACCATGGAGCAGCCAGAACATGAACCGGCACCAATATGGGATTCTCGAGTTTGCTAGGTAAGAATTTAGCCATTGAGCTGTTGTGCTGGGCCTGCTATTGGTTTTATGTTCCCCAGCATTCTACAGATTTGTCACCTGCCAAATGTGAAATGAGTTGTTCCCTTCCTTTTGGATGGTCAGCGAAGGCTTTGTTTCTCATATTCATTGAGCCGATGTTTTTGCTTTAAAGGAAGTGATATTCTTAGGGTAAGGATAGATGCAAGAAGAAAGGGTATAAGATCAACCAGGAAACATATTAATGAACAAAATGTTTATTAATAATGATAATGCACTAAAGGCTCCAGGACAGTGGGAGTAAAGAATTACTTTGCATAGAGTGGTCAAAAAGGGCCTATCCTTGTAAGTCGTGTTGGAGTAAAGGCATGAAAGCACAGAGGAGTCAGGACAGAGGTCTATGGCAGTGTGTTCTGGGCACAGCGAATGTGAAGTCTCCCCACGTGGGAGCAAGCTTGATTGTCTGAGAAGAGAGGCAACCTGTGTGATTTTTGCCTAGGCATCCTCGTTGTTAGGTACCCAGCTGCCGTAGAACAAGCAGTGGGTTGTGGGGGTTGGGAACTCCGTGACATCAGGGCTGGAATTAGGACTTTGGAAGCCATCTACATTTTAGTTTACAAGACTTGAAAATCGCCCATCTAGGCAAGATTAGCTGGAAAGAAAATGGAGAGATGGAAGGAAGGTCATCTTGTATAGGAGGACAAGAAAGTGAAATGGGAGGGACCCCAGGAGGAACAATGCAAGGAGAGGTGAGGAGAGCGTGTTGGGAGAGGCAATCAACCATGTTGTCTAGCAGTCCATGAAGAGGACAGAGAAGTGATTGTATGGCAGCATGGAGCTCCCTGGTGACTTTGGCTCTTGTCCTCCCTGCCCCCAGGGAGGGAAGAATGTTGATAGCATTTATGGGTCAGACTCCCAAGTTGTGCAGTGGTGACCGCTCTGCGTTTGCTGACCCACCAAAGAACAGCTAAATTCCTGAGAAGAGCAGCCTGTGCTGAGGATTCCATAAACCGGGTTCTTTTCTTACATAGTGGTATAGTCTAAGCTATTCTATGCTGGGCCAGTTAGCTGTGGATGTAAAGGTACCTCCAGTCGTGATTCTTAACATAGACGCATGTGACTCAGACTTCCTCTTTTTTATTTACACTTGAAAGAACCGTCTAAATATCTCCCTAAGAGGAGACCTCCTGAATTCTACCGGCATCCATGCTCTCCAAATTGCAATTCTGACCCCTCCCCGAAATACATGGCTTTTTGCTGAACAGATCCTTGCAGCCTCTTTGGATGACAGGGGGAAATGGGAGTTGAGATTGGGGACAGAAGTAATAAATGGCATCTTGGAATGGGGAGCTGTATTTAATTCTTTTTATGAGTTAAAGACAAGGGAAGACAGTTTGAGGGCAAACATGAGGCTCGGGTGCATGTTGTGGATCAGGAAAATCCTGCGCAGTGTCTGACCATGATGACAATGGTCAAAGAGAGGATGGCTGAGTCATTGGCAGTCTCAGTGAAGTGAGCGCACTACATGTATCTACTTCGACCAGAGTGCTGAACGTACAGTAAGAGCGTAGGCATGCAGAGGGCTTTTGGAATTGCTGTCAAGGACACATGAGAGTTTGCATCTGTCTTTTCTATTCTGTGTGAGACAATGTTGTCTGCCTTAAGCATCTCACTTTTTTTTTTTTACATATACTTGTGTGAAGAAGAGCATTATGATTATGATATTGACAACCACTTACTTAGTGCTTTACCTGCTGGGCATCATGCTAAGTATTTCACTCATGAACTTAATTCATAATTCTTGCAAGAACTCTTGGAAGTAAGTATTATTGTTTCCCCCCATTTTTATGCTGGAAGTTACTGAGATACACAAAGATGGACCTATCAACTCAAAGTTCTCTGCCCAGCAGTCGACAAAGTTCGATTCAGAACCCAAATCATTTTAGCTCCAAAGTTAAGGCATTTAATCCCTCTATACATTTTCCATAATGGCATGTAGGGCCTCACTAGTTGAATGTGTATCTGTTTCAAAACAGGAGCATGTGTAGAGATGGTTAAGAATCAAAGAGAAACATGCAGTAACTTTGTAGAAGAGAGATTACAAGCCAAAATAATTATCAAATAAATTATAGGAGCAAGTATTAGGAGACTGGTGATGGAAGACACTAGATACTTGAGGTTGATTAAAAAAAAAACAGATTTATTTATTTCTATTGGAAAGGCAAATCATATTTTACAAGAGACAGAAAGATCCTCCATCTGCTGGTTCACTCCCCAAGTGGCCACAACAGCTGGAGTTGAGGCAGTCTGAAGCCAGGAGCCAGGAGCTTTTTCTGGGTCTCCCACATGGGTGCAGGATCCCAAGGCTTTGGGCCATCCTCTACTGCTTTCCCAGGTCATAGATGGGGAGCTGGATGGGAAGTGGAGCTGCCGGGATATGAACTGGTGCCCATATGGTGTGTTGGTGCTTACAAGATGAGGATTTAGCCATTGAGCCGTTGCACTGGCCCCATTGTGTGTGTGTGTGTGTGTGTGTGTGTGTGTGTGTGTGTGTGTGTTTTAAAGACTTATTTATTTGAAAGGCAGAGTTAGAACAAATGAACTTCCATTTGGTGGTTCACTTCCCAAATAACCACAACTGTTGGCAATGTTTAGTTCCGTTCAAGCTCTCATAATCAGAGCCCTTAAGCTTCCTCTGATATTCTGTTCGTGACCAGATGTGTACTCTGCAAGGTGATACAGGTTTTCATCCCATGCAACTTACTTCTTTCTATACCCTCAGCAGCTGTACCATTAGTGTCCTTTTCTACCCACAGGCTACTTAAATCTGTTGCCTTGGTGGTTTTGAGAACCAGAGCTGATGGCAGAAAGCAAAGAGACGGCGGATATCCAAGTTTACAGAGGGTAATTTATCGGTGTGACTTAGGCCCAGAAATGTGGTCTCAGGTGCCTGAAAGGCATGTGGATCTTGATGTGTGAGGCAGAACAGAAAGGGTTTTGTAGACAAAATGGCCCATGCCTAGTTGACCTGAAAGTTCTCAAGAAATGCTAACATTCCTAAGAGACATTCAAACTTCCAGAGAAGAGCTTCAATAACAGGAGCAAATTCGTTTTTTAAAATTACTTTACTTGGATGTCAGAGAGAGAAAATCTACCAGCTGTTCACTCTCTGCATGCCTGCAGCAGCTGGGACTTGCCTAGGCTGCCGCTAGGAGCTGGGAACTCCATCTGTATCTCCCATGTGGCTGGTAGGGACATAGTTGGTTGTGCTATCATCTCTTGCTGCATCCTAGGAAGTGCATTAGCAGGCAGCTGGGATTGGAAGTTGAATTGGGAACTTAAGCCCAGGCATTGTGATGGGGAATTTAGGTGCTCCAAGTAGTATGCTTCCCACTGTGTTGAACAGCCACTGTGCCAGTGGTTATCTATTTATGCCTAGGACTTGAAATCTCTCCAGCAAATGGCTATGGGGGTGTGAAGTCACATCCCTGCAGCACCATAGGCTGTATCTGTCCTTCATTTTACTATTCCTCCAGCTGCTGCTCTGTTCCAAGGCCACTCATTTGTAGGCATTCGTTACAGCACCACCTCACTGTCTAGTACCAACTTTGGTATTCATGGCCCCTGTAACATTGTCACAGACTTGGTTGCTTAACAACAGTTTTCTTCTGCCAGAGTTCTGCGAGCCAGCCATCTGCAGTCAGTGGGTTGGTAGGGCAGAGGCTCTGGGAGGAAGCAGTTATTTCTTCCAGCTTCTGGTGACTGCGTTGGTTTGCGCCCACATTGCTGGTTTTGCCTCTGCCGTCACGCTGACTGCTCTTGCTCTCATTGTGTCAAATCCCACTCACTCTCCTATGGCTATGCGTGATTGCAATTGTATCCCACTGT